ACAGTGTAGGAGGGTTCCCTTTTCTTCACATTCTCACCCACACTTGATAGTTGTTGTATTTTTGATAATAGCCATTCTGACAGGTGTGAGGTGGTATCTCATTGTGGCTTTTTAAAAAAAATCTCATTCTGGTTTTGATTTGCATTTCTCTGATGATTAGTGATGTTGAGCATCTTTTCATGTGTCTCCTGACCATCTACATGTCTTCTTTGGGAAAGTGTCTATTCAGATCCCCTGCCCGTTTTTCAGTTGGGTTGTTTGTTTTTTTGCTATTGAGTTGTATAAGTTCTTTGTATATTTTGGATATTAACCCCTTATTGGATATTTTGTTTGCTAATATCTTCTCCCCGTCAGTAGGCAGTCTTTTCTTTTTGTTGATAGTTTTCTTTGTTGTGCACAAGCTTTTTAGTTTGATGTGGCCCCAATCCGTCTCTTTTTGCTTTTATTTCTCTTGCCTGAGGAGACATATCCAAAAAAAATTACTAAGACTGATATCATACTGCCTATGTTTTCTCTTAGAATTTTTATGTTTTTAAGTCTTACACAAATCTCTAATCCATTTTATTTTTGTATATGGTGTAAGAAAGTGCTCCAATTTGATTCTTTTGCATGTACTGAATAGCTGGCCAGTTTTCCCAAGACCATTTATTGAAGAGGTTATCTTTTCTCCATTGTATATTCTTGCCTCCTTGTCAAAGATTGATTGCCCCTATAGGGTTTATTTCTGGGCTCTGTACTCTGTTCCATTGATCTATGTCTCTTTTTGTGCCAGTACCATACTGTTTTGATTACTGTAGCTTTGTTGTATAGTTTGAAATCAGGGTGTGTGATACCGCCAGCTTTGTTCTTCTTTCTCAAGATTGTTTTGGCTATTTGGGGTCTTTCATGTTTCCATAGAGATTTTAGGATTATTTGTTCTAGTTCTGTGAAAAATGTCATTGGTATTTTGATAGGGATTGCACTGAATCTGTAGATATCCTTGGGTAGAATGGACATTTTAATAATGTTAATTCTTCCAATCCATGAACACAGTGTACCTTTCCATCTGTTTGTGTTGTCTTCTGAAATTCTTTTATTAGTGTCTTCTAGTTTTCCAAGTACGGGTGTTGTTACCTCCTTAGTTAGATTTATTCCTAGGTATTTTATTCTTTTTGATGTAATTGTAAATAGGATCATTTCCTTAATTTCTCTTTCTGATAGTTTGTTGTTAGAATATAGAAATGCAACAGATTTCTGTATATTAATTTTGTATTCTGCAACATCACTGAATTTATTGATGAGCTCTGCTAGTTTTTTGGTGGCATCTTTAGGATTTTCTGTGTATAGTATCATGTCATCTGCAAGCAGTGATAGTGTTACTTCTTCCTTTCCAATTTGGATTCCTTTTCTTTCTTTTTCTCATCTGATTGCTCTGGCTAGGACTTCCAATACCATGCTGAATAAAAGTGGTGAGATTGGGCATCCTTGAATTGTTCTTGATCTTAGAGGAAATGCTTCCATTTGAGTATGATGGTAGCTGTGGGTCTGTCATATATGGCTTTTATTTTGTTGAGATATGTTCCTTCTATACCCACTTTGGTGAGGGTAATGAGGTTTCACCTTGCACTGGTCAAATGGCCATTATCAAAAAATTTAGAAACAATAAATGCTGGAAAGGGTGTGGTGAAAAGGGAACCCTCTTGCACTGCTGGTGGGAATGGAAATTGATACAGCCACTATGGAGAACAGTACAGAGGTTCCTTAAAAAACTAAAAATAGAACTACCATACGACCCAGCAATCCCACTACTGGGCATATACCCTGAGAAAACCATGATTCAAAAAGAGTCATGTACCACAATGTTCACTGCAGCACTATTTACAATAGCCAGGACATGGAAGCAACCTAAGTGTCCATAGACAGATGAATGGATAAAGAAGATGTGGCACATATATACAATGGAATATTACTCAGCCATAAAAAGAAAAGAAATTGAGTTATTTGTAGTGAGGTGGGTGGACCTAGAGTCTGTCATGCAGAGTGAAGTCAGTCAGAAAGAGAGAGACAAATACCATATGCTAACACATATATATGGAATCTTATTTAAAAAATTGGTACTGATGAACCTAGTTGCAGGGCAGGAATAAAGAGGTAGACGTAGAGAATGGACTTGCGGACACGGGGAGGGGAAAGGGTAAGCTGGGACGAAGTGAGAGAGTGGCATTGACACATATACACGACCAAATGTAAAATAGCTAGCTAGTGGGAAGCAGCCGCGTAGCACAGGGAGATCGGCTCGGTGCTTTGTGACCACCTGGAGGGGTGGGATAGGGAGGGTGGGATAGGAAGGGTGGAAGGGAGGCTCAAGAGGGAGGGGATGTGGGGATATATGCATATGTATAGCTGATTCACTTTGTTGTACAACAGAAACTAACACAGCATTGTGAAGCAATTATACTCCAATAAAGATGTGTTAAAACAAATGCCCATGGACTCTCAAAAAATGAATAAATAAAACTCAATAATAAGAGAACCAAATTAAGAGACGGGCAAAAGGTTTGAATAAACTCCTCAGCAGAGAAGGACAGAGGGCAAATGAGCACATGAAAAGATGCTCAACGTCATGTTATAAGGGAAATGATAATTAAAACCACAGCGAGTTGCCACTGCACACCCACTTGAACGGCTAATATTAAAAAGACTGAGCACACCACATGCCGCTGCGGATGTGGAGTGACTGGAACTCCGCTGCAATGTGGATAGAACATAAAATGGCATAGCCACTGTAGAAACCAGGTTAGCAGATTCTTAAAAGTTAAAGATACACCCGTCATGTGCCCCAGTCACTTCCCTCCTAGGTATTCACCTCCAACAGAGACTTGTACACGCAGCTCACAGCAGTTGTATCTGTGGACACGGAAGGGTGGGCAGTTCCGCAGGGGCCCCGCTCCTCCGGGAGCCGGGCATCAGCCGGGGCTGGTGATGTGCCTGGCACACGAGCATCTCCTCTGGGCCCTACGCCTGGCCCCACGCCGGGTGGCACGAGTGAGGCCCCTCTTCCTGACTCTGGGGGCATCCCGCGTGGCGCCCTCGGGGCTCCTCCAATGGCGCCTGGCCTGCTGTTTCCCGGCCTCTCCCGCCCGGACCGTGGGGCTGGCATATCTCCACTGACACGTCCAGAACCGAGCGCCTGTCTCCCCAGCCCTCGTCCGCAGCCTCCCCGTTCACAGAGGGCAAACCGCCTTTCCAGGGCTCAGAGCGAGAGCCTTCGTTCGCGTGGCCTGGACCCTCTTTCTTCCACAGCACACTTCGGATCCCAAGGGAATCCTGCTCATTCTTCCTTCGGATGCCTCCAGAACCAGTGCACCTGGCTGAGCCGCGCGCTCTGTTAGCCCCGCAGCCTCCAGGGCTCCCCTGGGCCCCGCCCCCGCTGCAGCTGCTCCGCCCCGGCCGCCCCTCCCCTTGCTCTTTTCCTGCGGACGCGTGCCCAGCGGGCCGCACCTCCCGGGCCCCACGCTAAAGCTGCACTTCCCACGTCCTCCTCACGCCTGGCTCTGCCCACGGCCGCTCTGGCTCTCTAAGGCACTTCCTCACCCTGCCTACCGGCCACCCGCCGCCCCAAAGCTGACCGAGGGGCCCAGAGGGAGGCCCGTGTCCACCTCGTGCGCGCCACCTCCCGGGCCCTGAGCGAGGCCGGCACGTGGCTGGTGGGTGCGTGAGTGAACCGCAGCCCCGAACCCTGGGCTTGCGGTGTGGCGGGCGCCGCTATGCTGCGCACCCAACCTCGACCAGGGGACTCCCGGGAGGGCGGCGGAGTGTGCCTGGGTGGCCCGAGCACTGGAGGCCTGGCCGGAGCCCGGGGAGCGGGGCAGACAAGGAGGGGCTCCTGCCAAGGGGCAGGCACCAGGGCAGGCCCTCAGGCCAAGCGAACTCCCAGCGATGCGGGGAGGGCGGTGCCCCCGCGGGGCTGGCCAGGCCTCACCTCCGGGCCGCCCACCTGCTCGGGGCCGTGAGGCCACCTCTGACAGGAGCAGGCAGAGCTGTCTGCCCTGGGCCTGGGCCCTCCAGGGCTTCAGCGCCGAGAGGGGCGCAGCGGGCTCCGGGTGAGCACAGGCGAGCTGAGCCGGGAGGAGGGTGCGTGCGGGCTCCCGCTGGGAAGCGCAGGGGCCACCGTGCCCGGGGCGCGGCGGGGCCGCAGCCTTACTTCCCGACGCTGGGCTGGGGTTTGCATCGCTGACCCCCAAGCAGTTTTGCAAAAGTAAAACCAGAAGACTCGTGGAAGTCAGACAATGACTTGTTTAAAGGTGGGAGAGGGTGGGAGCGCGATTTGGGTGAGAAGGACCTGCTCCTTGGGCGGCAGGCGGCCGCACGAGCGTGGGGTGGGGGTGCGTCTGAGCGCGGGGGGCACAGAGAGGGGCCAGAACCGAGGGGCAGCGCACACGTTTATTGAGCTGGGACGCGGTGCGGACGCGCCTCCGGCCGGTCCCCACTCTCAGCCCCGAACACGCCCGGGGCCCAGCATCCCTGCTTCACCCCGCACCCCGGGTCAGGACCCCGAGCCTTCCTTTCTCCTGCCCTCGGACAAAGGGAGACGTGCACCCTGCCCGGCGCTGACCCGCGTGACCACGGGAGCCGAGGCCGAGGGACCGGGGAGGGGCAGCTCCCTGCCGCCACAGCTCCTGGGGCTTGGAGGGGACGGCTGCTGGAAGCGCCGTCCAAATGTCAAACCAAGTCTTAAAACAACAGTTACACGGACACTAAGGAACAACGTTTCTGAAACGTCACAGATGGGAGTGGCCCCAAAGCATTTAAAATAATGAACACGGCATGCCAACGCGTGAGGAAACGGGCGTAAGTGAAGTTGGAGCAGCGTCGGGGCGGAGCCGGGGGCTCACAGACACAGATAGAGCGCTGTGGGTGCATCTCTAGGGCACAGACACCTTCTGTAGTAGAGAAACCTCTATATCTGCAAGGGGGTGGGCGGTCTGCACAGGTGGCGAGTGGTGGGGACGTCGGCGGGGTTAGAGCGCGCCCATCCCGGTGACCTCGGACGTCAGCCTGGAAGAGACAAGGGCACAGGGCACAGGTCACCATGTCCTCACAGACGGAGGAGTCCTTAGAGGCTTGCGCCTCCCTCTTTATTGCCACGGACGGTCCTGGCTCACAGCGCAGTGGCCACTAGCTGAGGACCGGGGACCAGAGCCACGGGGCCTTCCTCCCCTGCCACAGGGGCCCATGTACCTGTCACCACATGGGGGTGACGACAGCCACCAGGACAGGCCCAGGCTGCCACAGCTGTTTCTACAGCCACTGCCGGGAGGGGCATGGGAGTGACACTGCCGGGCCCTTGTGCCTGCCGTGGCTCTGGAGGCTTCCTGGGTGTGGTCGCCCTCAGCAGGGAGGCTGAGGGAGGGGCCGCGATGCCCAGGAGCTCCGCCCTGGCTCCCCGGCCCACAGGGCTTCCCTCTCTCCCTCTGCCCCAGCGCATGACTTCAGACCCTTGCACGGTTGGCAGCCACCCACCAAGTGTCTGGGTGGGGGGTCTTTACAGCCACAGATGTGTGAGAGCAGATAAACCCAGTGACCTGTTCCCTGAAACTACAGAGCCTTTCATGCTGACCTTCGATGACCCCAGACCCAGGCCTCTGCCGAGCAGAGAACGTGGGGTGGGCACAGGGCAGGTGCTGGCCAGGCCACCCCCAGCTTGTCCCTGTGGGCAGAAGGCCGGAGGTCCCAGGAAAGGCCAGTGAAGCAGCCCCCCCGCAGCTCCAAACCCCAGGGACCTCCCGGGTGTGCGGAGCTGGCAGCACAGCTACGAGGCTGGCAGTGCCATCACAGGGCCCAGACCCTCCCACTGCACAGGGACAGGCAGGGCGCAGGCTGGCCCTCACAGCTCCCCGTGGCTGTGAAGAGTGAGGCCCAGAGGCTTGGCTTCAGACGCCCCGAGTCCGTGTGGAGTGGACGCTGGGCTCTCCACAGTTTGCCGCCTAAGGCGCCAACGCCTAGCGACTTGTCTGGGGCCGCGCGGGCACCACCGGAGGTGAAAGGTCAGCTGTGAGAGTGCAGGGGAGCGTGTGGGCCCGCGTCCACCTGGAGCGTCTCCCCGCCACGCTCCACCGTGCCGCCTCCCCGCCCAGCCGCCCAGCGTGGACAGAGAAGCCCCGGGAGGCAGCCCCGTGCAGGCCCGTGCAGGCTGGCCGGCCTCACCTGGCGTTGATGAGGTACTGGGCAAGGCTGATGTTGGCCGGGGTCCCCGTGATGGTGATCTGGCGCTCTGACGACCCCTCCGTGGCATTGGCGATTTTGATCTGAGCTCCAGACATCTGTCGAATTTCATTGATTTTGGTCCCCTGGCGTCCAATTATGCAGCCTATTAGCTGGAAGAAAGGACGGAGGAGCTTCTTAGAGGAGAATCCGCCGCAGCCGGTGTGCGGTGCCGAGCCGCTGGGGAAGCTGTAGGAAGCAATGCCTTGGCCTGCCCACCCCCAGCACGTCACAGGCTCCAGAGGGAAGAGGCACGCCCACCCCCCTCCTGCTGGAGGACGGGAGCCGCGGGTGCCTGGCCTCTGCTTGGCCTCTACCTCAAGACGTCCCGACAAATCAAGACACAGCGGCTATGCGGCCGCATCACCTGGCCCAGCGTCCTCTGTGGGCCCGAGGCCATGTTGGCCCCTCTAGGCCACGCCCTCGGGCTGGAGGGATGTATGTTTGAGTGGACATGGGAGCTGGAGAGGCCATGTCCCCAGCCATCACCGTGCCGCCCTCAGGCAGCTGCCCCTCTAGGACACGTGCCCACACCCGCCCTGCTGTCTTGGTTTGGGGATCAGAGTCAACATTCTTAGATAAACCAGGGATCCCGAGGGTGGTTGGGAGATAACTGAGTGTGTGAGGGGAGTGTGTGAGGCCCTCCGAGGGCCCATGGGGCACTTCTGGGCCACCTCCTCTCAGGGCTGACCCTGAATCAGGCAGGGCCTTCAAATGGGGCAGCCGGGGCCCCCAGGCGGCTCTGGCATCTGAATTCCGAGTCAACCCTGAAGCGCCACCGACTCCTTCCTGGGCTGGTATCTTGGGGGTGACATCACCCACCCCCATGCGCATTAACCTGCTTCACCAGGGCACACGCGGGCCCAGGATGGGTGGGGCCCGGCATACTCACATCATTGGGAATGGTGAGCTCGTGAGTGCTGGCGGGGGTGCTGGCGTCCAGACCTGGGCACAGTGAGGGGAGACGGTTAGGCGGGCAGAAGGCTGCTCCCGCTGCACCCGGCGCTCGGCCCCGCTGGGCCGGCAGGCAGGCGGGGCCGGGGGCTGCCCAGGGGAGGGTCTGCACAGCCGGGGGCCGGGGCCTGTGAGCGCTCAGTCCCAAACTGCCACCACCCTCCTGACCCCAGCGTCTCTCAAACAAGGAAAAGGAACCCAGCAAGATGCAGGTTCACTTTTTCGTTCTGGCCACGACATGATGTCACTTGTCTGCTGTGTTGTGTAGTCTCTCGAGACGCCCTTCACAGACACCCTGGCGGCTCTGCCTGGCACCCCGGACACGGGCCGCACTGGTCACGCCAGTCCGGGGTGCCCACCCTCCCTTCCCCAGACCCGACAGCAGGCCTCCTCCGCTGCCCCTGTTCCCTCCCACGCTCTGCGGCCCCCGCCCCCGGGCAGCGCTTCCGGTCGGGGGCAGGGAGGCCCGAGAGCCGGGCAGGGGAGGCCGTGCCTTTCCACAGGGCGTCCTGGGCTGAGCCCCAGGACCAGCTCATCACACGCCCAGCTTCTGTCTCAGCTCAGCACCCACCATATCAGAGCCAGCCTCTCAGGGTTCAAGGACGAGATCCACGCTCACTTTGGAAACAGTGACCACAAAACGCAGGGGGCTGTGAGGGGCCCAGAGGGGAGGCAGGGTCTGCCCTCGCGGTGAACGCCGGGGCAGACACACTCCTGTGTACGAGGCGCTTCCATCCCGTCAGGAGGCGTCTCAAACTCAAAGCCCACAGCCGAGACCCCACTCTTCCTGCCCCAGACCCGTGTGTCCCAGTGTCGTGGGTCCCGCAGCTCAGCCCAGACCCGGAGCCCCCAGCTCTACCCACCTTCCCCCTGGAACACTATCGCAGGCCCGGCTCACACACCTTCGGAATATTCCGGAACCTGAGCCCTCTTCCCACCCCACGCTCCTCCCTCCCTGGCCCCTGCCCCTCAGGCTAATCCCCACAAGGCCCTGAGGGGTCCCAGCAACGGCGACTGCCCGGCCCCCGGCCCCCGGCCCCACAGGCATCCTCCTCCACGGCACGTGTGTCCCCAGAACCAGATGTGCCGTGGCCATCAGTGTCAAGGACTCAGAGACCCGGTGAGACCGGGCCTGTTCTGGGGCCCGCAGAGCACGGGGTTCAGCTATGCTGAACGAACTAACTCACCCCAGACCATCCTTCATTTTTCTGTTTTGCAGCGAAACCTGGAGTTTCTGTTCTTTATCTCTTTTCATAAAGGTATTTTCAATACAGTTACTTAGTTGTTCAACCATCTATATACATTCAATCTTTAGTGACATTTAAAATATCACTTAAGAGATTTCCTTGGTCCCAAGTCCCGTGCGGCGCCTCCTGGTTTGGGTGACACAGCTGGGGAGTCACACCTGTTCACCTATAGCTTATGATGTTTGATCAGGGGCTTCTTTTAAAAGGGGCCGAGGTCACACCCAGTGGTGAGCTTCCCTCTCATGAGTCACGAACGCTGCCTCCCCAACACAAAGCCCAGCTGCCTGGCAAGCAGCGTGGCATGGCCTTCAGGGTGAGGACGCGACCGGCAGACACCTCTCGTCAGCGCCCGGCCTCCCTGACCCGCGGCCGTGGCGGGAGCATGCACGTGCGCGTGCAAGTGTGGTGTGTGAGCGCTCTGGGTCCCACGGGGCCTTGGAGAGGGCGGTCGTCACAGGGGCACGTGAACACGGGTCCTACATCCCCGAGGCCGTGCTGGGAGGGCCGTGTCGCGGTGGGGTGGGGGCCCTGTGCCCCGGGTAAGCCTGGCGCTTGGAGTCCCCAGGTCGTCTCCTGGAGATGATGGCTGTGCAATTATCTGCAATCACGTTATAAACTGTACAGGCACCCAAACATGTGTTATCACCAGACACATAACTTTGTAAAGGTTGGTATCCAGTTCCCAAATCAGAAACTTTCTATAAATGTTCTCTAGTTTTCACTCATTCAATTCTGCATTAACTTAAAGGCTGCGCTGAGAAGCCCACAGTGAACGCATGAAGCGTCAGAGCTGGGGTCCCAGCTGGAGAGACACCTCCCGAGCCCTGTGGTCTCAGCTGGGCCCACGTGGTCCTGAGGGATGGGTGAGGGGCGGACGCACCCTGAGGCCCGGAACACACCAGTGGGGCTGACAGCTACGACCGCTCTAAACAGTCCTCTCCCTCATCCCCTTTAGCCAGCACTCGCTCTTCTGCTCTGATTCAGGCTTTCACGAGGGCCGTGTGGGTGGGGATGGGAGCGTGGGGGGGCGCCTCCCTCCCAGGGAACCTGGCTGGTCTGGGCCACATGCCTCCAGGGGCTTTGCTGCCCAACCGCCTGTCAGCGGGCCGCACCCACTGCTCCAAGCCTGGGTGACAGGACCTGCGGACCCACGCCCTGCCCTGCCCTGCCCTGTCCGGGGAGCGTTTTAGTGCAAATCCAGGCCACAGTGATCTCACCTCCCATGAAACACATTTCTGGAAGGCACACAGCGTGGTCAGCCCTTCACTCCAGACCCCCACACGCTGTGCCACTGGGAGAATAAATGACACACAGGTGGGGCCTCTGGATGACAGGGCAGCTGTGCCCCGAGCCCAGTCAGAGCCGGCCCACCACGCTCCCAGCAGGAACGGGGCGGAAGCCGGGAGCCGCGTGTGCAGGCCTGGGGCCAGCCACTTGGGCTCCGGCCCTGGGTGGCACCGGCGTCCCTTCCTCGAGGCGCTTGGCCAGCAGGCCCCTCGCCCCCTCCTCCCGCCAGGTCCCTTCCTGGCCTGCTTGCTCTCCCTTTAGCATGGTTTTCTTTTACCTGACGACTGGCCCATCAGATTTTGAGCTTCGTCGGAGGAGTGTAAAGGCAGCTTTTCTCCTGGAGAGCAAAGAAGAAACAGATTTAATGTTTTGCCCTCAAGGAGAGAAGCAAGGTCACTTCAACTAGGGAAGCTCAAAGTCTGACCGGTGTGCCACTCGGAGCTACGGGGCGCCATCCCAGGCGAGCTGCCCTGCGGGTGCACCACCTCCTGCAGGAGGGCCTCCCCGACAGCCAGTGGGCAGCAGAGAGCAGGGTGGACCCTCGAGGGGGGGGGGGGGGGC